TGTGCTAACCGTAGTAAATAAAGAAGGTGGTTTCAATGCTGATATTCAATGCTGATATGTACAAAGGAGCAACCTACTAGGCGATAGGCAGAGCGGTACTGCCGGTGGCTTCCGGAGCCGGTTACGGTGACGGCGTGGCGTTAGTAGTCGCGGTCAAGATCGGTATTGGAGATCTCTGTAAAAAATCCCTAAATGCTCCCCCTCAATAAGGATCGACAGAGGAGAACGCTCCTTATTACAAATATCCAAAAATGGACAAGAGTCATTTTAAATTATGGCTCAAAACTATTCCTAGGCACGAAAAATATCTCGTTCGCCGCGAGGTTGAGAGTTACAGTTTTTCGCACAGTTTTCGTCTTCTGTGGGTAGGTTTTGAGTGCGGGTCGCAATTGTGGTGCGGCGGCTCGCGCTATCTCATCGCCCGGAACGGTGGGTTTGGTCGTGTAGTTTGGACGTATCGCTGTGTCTGAAGAGGTTGCTGGGCGCTGTGGGGCAGGCGGTTTAGGGGCACTAGGTATAGTTTGAATGATGAGTGACTGAGTGATGTGCGAGTCGTTAGTCGAGGACTGTGTGGTAGTGGTGGATAGCTGCGGGGGTGTAGGTGTCGGGTTGATCTCGGATTCGACGAGAAAGTGTGCCAGTTTAAGCAATTCGGTCGACACGACGTTAGGCGCACCCCTCACTTCGATTTTGAAGTTTAGGTTGTCGATTCGTTCAAGTACCTTGTCAGGACCGGTATACGAGGGTGGTCCGATAAGTACTTAGCCTCACCGCCCGATGGTGCCACTCTCGCAAAAGAAATATTCTATCACGTAGTACAACCTTCTCGATGGTAACTGTCAAGATTTCAGCCGGATCGGAGTTGTAGTTTATTTTTGAGAGCGTGTGAAAGCAAGTGTGTCCGTTGATTTTTGAAAAATGAAAAAAGAGCAGTCTCGGTCGGTGATTCGATTCTTGTTTTTGTTTTTGCTGTGTACGGTGACTCTTCTCCTTCGATGGCGACCGTCAAAAATTGGTTTAACGAGTTTCAACGTGGTCGCACGTCGATATTTGAAGAGCCACGTCCAGGTGCTCCGAAAACGGCTACCACGGAGGATAACGTGATAAAAATTCACGATCTCGTATTGACAGATCGACGATTGAAGGTGCCCGAGATAGCTAAGATCGTAGGCATCTCAAAAGACCGCGTGGGTCATGTCCTGCATGAAATTTTGGGCATGAGAAAGCTGTCGGCCCGATGGGTGCCGCGTTTGCACACTCCGGACAACAAGCGCAACCGTGAGACAACTTCAGAGCAATGTCTGACGCTGTTTAAGCGCAATCCGAAGGAGTTTCTGCGTCGTTTCGTGACAGTCGACGAAACATGGATCCACTGGTATACACCAGAGACCAAGGAACAGTCGAAACAGTGAACTTTACCCGGCGAAAGTGCTCCGAAGAAGGCGAAGACTGCCCTAACCCATCGGTCGGAAAGGTGATGGACACCGTTTTCTGGGATTCACAAGGTGTGATCTACATCGACTACCTGGAGAGGGGCAAAACGGTCACAGGGCTGTACTATGCCGAATTATTGGGCCCATTCGACGTCGAATTGCAGAAAAAACGGCCCCATTTGGCGAAGAAAAAAGTGCTCTTCCACCATGACAACGCACCGGCTCACTCCTCCGCCGTCGCCATGGCCAAATTGGTCGAATTATTAAGCTACGAACTGCGGCCCCATCCACCGTATTCTCCAGATTTAGCCCCGTGCGACTTCTTGTTGTTTCCAAACTTGAAAAAGTCAGTCACCGGGCAGAAATTTGAGTCAAATGAGGAGGTAATCGCTGCCACGGAAGCCTACTTTTCAGACCTCGAGGAAACGTATTTGTCAGACGGGTTAAAGAAGTTGGAGCATCGCTGGGCCAAGTGTATCGAACTAAAAGGAGACTATGTTGAAAAATAAAACGCCACTTTTCCAAAATTTTCGTTTTTCTTTTGTAGGCTAAGTACTTATCGGACCACCCTCGTAGGATCGTTCGAGAGGTTTTTTAACCGCCGCAGTACGCAGGAATACATTAGAGCATGTATGTAGATCTTTAAAGAAGAAGGCACGGGGTTTATACTTTTGAACGACTGGTATCGGTTTCACTTTACGCATGTGTTTGTGACGGTGTAGGCTGATCATGGCCTGCACCGTGTGTATGCTTCTCTCTCCATCCTAGGCGAAGGCGCACGGGTGGCATCAGACGCACGTTATTTTACGTGTCTGATGTCTGCCTTTATTCTTTCCAGCATTGCGGCTAGAAGAGAGAGAGAGAGAGGAGGCAGCAGCGAGCAAGCGAAAGGGGAGAAACATCAAGAGTAAGAGTAAGAGAGAGAGAGAGAGAAGGAAATCATATGTAGCTCGGTGAGGCTTGGCGCGCGGCAGTGACGCGTGCCGCCGATTAGGCGGAGAGTGGTGGGGGAAGACGTGAGAAGCCGACTCTCACGCACTCGCGACACTAGATCGACGCACGCTTGAGAGATCGGCCGCACTAGAAGTCTTGAGGAGTCGCCATTCTTCCTATCACGAATCCGAGAGGGTGTGATAGCCGTGACAGCGTTAGAACTGGGCTACATCTTGCGCCAGCCAACTCACCTGCAGCCCACCTGCCAAGCAGCCATCACATTTGGTCAGGTTTAGTTTTCTCTCCTCTCTTTTCTCTCTCTGTTTCCTCGGCATTGTTTCGCGGCTTGTGTGCGGGGCCAGGCTCTCACAAGCTGGCGCAACGTTTCTTTATTATATAGTTTTAATTTGAGCCGGTTAATGAAGTGACATGGCGCTAACGTGCCGGTCATCTCGTTTAGTATAAATCTTTGAATCATTAGTATTAGGTAACTTTTGTATTTTCGTCGGTACTCAAGGTACTGCAGCTGTAATAAATGGTTGATTAATGAAACTGTGTGTGTGAAGATCATTGTGTCTACACCTTCTCTTCCCTGCTTTGCTAGGAGCGACACGCCGCCTCCCTTGCCCTTCCCTTAAATAATTTGGTAATAGTAGCGGAATTGTTGGCATTGAAGGCCAACGCTATTACATGTTCACAAAATTTTTCGAGAAATATTTGCGGATTGGGACTAGGGTCTCCTTCGAGAAAGAATTCGCCAGGAACGTGTAGTATTATGCCGTAAACGTATTCCGCAGGCGAGGCATCCGTTTCCTCGCAAACGTGAATGCGTAATCCGAGGAGGACGGTCGAGAGTGTGCGGACCCAGATGTCATCGTTGTGGCACACGATAGCCGCTTTCACGCTACGATGTCAGTATTCTATCATTCTATTTTCTTTTGGATGCCAAGCCGTGGTGCGAATACGTTGGCATCGGATTAGCGAAAGAAGCGCTATGCTCAGTTGTGCTTCAAATTCAGGGCCCTAGTCGGTAGTGACCACTACGGGAGCTCCGAACCTGGACACTGAGTGATCGTAGAAGGCTCGACTAACTATCTGTGTGGTTTTGTCGTCGATGGGGATCGCTTCTATCCAACGCGAAAATCGGTCAATCATTGTTTTTGGTGCTGTAATTTGCTGCATTTATACATAATTGAATGTTTCTTATTAGTTTCATGATAGCTTAGTTAGGATCTGTTTAAGTTGTTTCTGACTAATTTATTTTTTTGAAAAATTTATTAATTTATTGATTTGTGCATTTTATGAACGCTTGGGTAAGACAGCATGCTTAAAATCTCATGTCGCACACGTATCGAAAAATATTATTCGATACTTGTGCGAAAAGATGATTTCATCCTCGTGCGGTCTTTTCTCCCTCGATTCGTTCGAGCGTAAACGTCCACACGAGGGTCAAATCGTTTTCTCGCACTAATATATCGAAATATACTGTAGTCGTTCACTGTATTTTTAAAGTTGCCACAACATTTTTAAAACATACCCTCAACCTTAGAAAAGGCATATGGTATACTAGGTATACTCTGCCCCCTGCGATTCGCGCACTGACCCCCGGAACCAAATTTAAAAAACAAGAAAAACAATATCTTTTACATTAGTAGTTAAATTTACTTTGAAAATTAGAGAAATGAAAATATAGTTCATAACGTTTAAGTTTTAAAATATATAACAAAGTTTTACAAGTACAAAGAAAAAATATAAATACGTAATTGGTTTAAGTCATTATCTTGCAAGTAGTAACCCGATTCGGTAATTACACTATTTATTAACAGAAACGTATTTATTCGTAGGACATTGCAGTGACAACGGTGGACATTTTAAATTATAGTGTGTATAGTCGAAGTAGACACTTCCATTTTCATTATAAATTTACTTAATTTCATTAATTTTTGTATTGATTGATCAAGTACTCTTGTCTTCCCGATCCATCATGAGTGTTTCTTATATAGTTAAATTTTAAATAATCCTACCCAACATACCCTATAAACAGTAAAACTTTTATATTAAATTTTCATCATTTTTATATTATTAGTTAATCAATAAATGTAGAAATAAAAAAGAAAATAAACTTAATGTTATATATTTTATAAATTTTTTTATGTTTATTAAGATTAAAGCTTTTTAAATGTGAACATTAGGTTCTATATAGAAGGTGTTATTTTTTCATCACTTTTGAGATAAACATCATAATATGTCTAAAACTAATGAAATTAAAGAATTCAATGTGAACAGATTTAAAATTAATATGTTTTTCTGCAAACGTATTCAACGGCGTCCAGATATATTATAATATTTTTCAGATTAGCAATTAAATTGACTTAATTGACTTGATAGTTAATGATGGTTCGTAACGTTTGAGTCTAGTAATTCATAAGGAAATTTAAAAAATACAAAGTAAAAATTAAAGGGGTAAACAGGGGCAGAAGGGGTAAAAATAAGTCAAAAAGAGGCAAGCAGGGCAAAAAGAGGTGCGCTTGGGGTGTTAGAAATTTGTCAACTTTTATATATATATGACGATATAAATACGTATATTGTAAGATATTTTATTTTTAAATAATTGTATATTTGAATTTATTACAGTTCGAATATCAACAAGCTCAATTGGAAGCCGAAATTGAAAACTTATCTTGGAAAATTGAGCGAGCAGAAACAACAGATCGTGGTGATTTAGAAAATCAAATGGATATTGCTGAAAAGAGGAGAAAAACACTTTTGAAAGATTTTCTAGAAGTATAGATTGTTATATTGTTTTTCAGTAAATTAAATGATTTTCTGAACTTTTTTCAAAAATAAATTCAGAAAATCCAAGTATGCATATAGAATAAAATATTTAAATAAACATTTTAAACAATTCTACATATAATATATCTTTGCATATTCCAAGATAGATTGTTATTATTTCCCAAATTCGCGAGGCAATAACCGAGCAACGTTCAGCTACTCGAATGTGAGATTCTCGTAAATACTCACTGGTATATCGGTACTTCGACGAATAAAAAGCTCACAGGGCTTTTTATCGTTCACCTCTACAGACTACTAAATCGCTACTCTGTACAAATTTTCATTTCTGCGATTCCTATATGTGCTCAGAGACACGTCGGGAAGACCTAGGACTGATGTTCTTTTTTTCTTTTATTAGTCTGTTTGATCAATTTTGTTATTTCCAAGATTCTTATTCAAGTCATTTCCTCTGTTACTCATCCCCGCTCGAGATATGTTTTAGATGTCAAGGGGAAGTTTCTACTACTCGAAATTGTAATTATCTTATATATATATATATATATATATATATATATATATATATTGGCATGGTGTGCTAAGTTATTCTTCTATAAGTTACCATAACAATATTATCGCAATGAATGATACAATTAAAAATAAAGAACTAAAAGACATTAGTTTATTCAATTTATTTCATGCACACCCTCGAAACACAGGCTTATGTATCGTGAAGAAAGGGTTTAAAAGCTATAGATTTCTATGTTTTTGCGAAAAAAAAGATCATCATTGCAAATAATATCCGAGATCTTTATTATACTTATTATAAGGATCTAACGAATAGCTGAAATAATAGCTTTAAACTTTGCGCTGAAAGAAAAATTTGAACTTTTCCAGTTTTTATATATTTTTCTGCATATACTTCAATAATTTATCAACTGTGAGCGTAAGCGCCCGGTTTGCTCTACCGTCTCGATTGCGCGGCTGCCTGAGAGGGCAGCACCTACCGGCCCGGGTAAGTCGAAAACGGAAACTCGGTCCGAAATGGGAAGGAACGCACGCGAAGAGAAAAGGACCAGTGGAAGAACGCCTTTGACACCGGTAACATCTTAGCTCTCCCCTCACACCTGCGAATACAAGAAAATCGTAGCGAGCATGCAAACGAATATCGCAAACGAACGACTGTAAACGAAATGACGATACGTAAGATTGTCGCCCACATTGTACAAGCGTAGATGCGCGGGCCAAATGCGTTGTAGATTACGTTATGAATAAACTAGTCTGTGCATGATTGAAATGTTAATCTATTATTGTCTTTGCTATTAGTTAGTTGGTTGACTGACACCTATCTTCTCCTGCTCTCCGGTTAATTAATAGAATTGATTATTTTGATTTCGCCGCTCGCATTCCGGTAGGACTCCGTATCGGGCGAGACAAAGAAATTAAAACGGAATTCACACCCCGTTACACAACAATATATTACTATGGTAAAAAATAATAAACAAAGGTTACCAGAACATTTATTTTTTCTAATCATTAGTTATGATTAGTTTTAATAGATTAGATTGATTTTTCTAGTTATATTGAGACAAAACAGAGCAACAAAAATGTTCTTATTTCAAATCAAATATCATTTTCATAACTGTTGAGTTTCAACAAATCTGTATCGCATTACGGCTGGTTCTTAATAGTTGTTACACTGACTCAGATTTTTCGTTGATCGAGATATGCATACAGTTAAAATTTGTTTATAGTAAATAGAAGAGCTTCACGTATAAATTATCTTTTTTATTCTTCCAAAGTGAAGAAAAAATGAGATATTGAAAAAATTAAACTACTTGATATTATGACTGAAAAAAAAATATTTTCATATAATTATTAAATTTTATTTACCCATTCTCCTTATAAAATAGAGTATTTTCTTCTAAATAATTTTTTTTCTGCGATTCAAATTTTCCGAGATAATAGTAAATGTAAAATAGTAAAATAGTAATGAATATAGACGCTGTTTTTGAATGAAATGCTCATATAATCGATGATTTTAGATCAACAGCATTTATAAATGAGTGTTTTGGATAGTATAATAAAAGAACTACAAAATGCTTTTTTTAGATTTTTTTTGTAAACATTATGCTTTGAACCCATCAAAATTTTTTGTGTTTCTAACTAAACGAATTACGACTAATACAGAAAAAATAAATAAAAAAAAAACAAATATATACATACAAACGATGGCATACTAGAACATGCTAATACTAATAATTCTAATAAAGTTATTGACAATAAATTATAAAAGTGATCCTTGTGGCACAAATAAGAGAAATACTATCCAGGAAAAGAACTCATTGGTACCGAAAAGGCAGATGTAAAATAAAAATCAAGTATCTATGAATATTATAAAATTAATAATTGTTGATTATTAATCGTTGCCAGTTATCTTATTATTATATTTACAAAAGCGTTAGAATGAAAAATATATTATTGAATATTTATTAAATCGTGAATCAAATTTGTATTAATGTTGAAATTAAAATTTTGTTTTTGTTTTTTTAAATTGTGACGAGAGCAGGCAGTAGCCTACTTCTCGCTAGTCCCTTTCCCCTCTACTCTAGGCTGGGTGCAGTGGTCGGTATTGGACGCACTAATTTTCATGCGCCTAATACTTTACCTTTTTTTAGCCGCCGAAGATTGCCGTGCTCGGCCGAGGTGGCCTGAAGAAAAAGAGCGAGAATGAAAGAAGAGAGAGAAAGAGAGAGAGAGAGAGCACATGCACGCACTATGCAGACTTAGGCAGGCGAGCGACGCACGGCCATTAGCGTGCTTTGTCGCACACCGCCTAATAAGTGGGCTAAGTAGGGATAGCCTAGGGAGAGCGTGGTCACTGGGCGCGTATTTTGCTTCTCGCACGACTTATCACTATCGGCTAGTTTTTTGGTCCTGCCGGCGAGGAAAATCTCTCTCGTACTCGCCCTTCATCTTCGTGGTTCCTGTGACAGGAATTGCCGTTTATCATCTTGCGCGACACCACGCTTCCTGCTATTCGTCATCGTGTGCATCACGACGCCTATCCACGTCGATAGCAACAGCAACCGCGAGAAGCACGGCGATAGACTTAAGTTGCCACTGCCAACTTCGCCTCCCGGGGATCATTCAGGAGAATTGAAAGGTCAGGTTATCTCTCTCCCGGTTGTTCTTTCTCTCACAGAGTTGTGCGGCCGCGTGAATTTATAGGTAGCCTGGCGATAACTTGCCGGCTTCCTTTGTTCAATTCCTCGCCGTTCATTATTTCTATCGCGCAACTAGTTGTATATGTATGGTAGCCAGGCATTCACTCGCCGGCTACTTCGTAAGGTTTTTATTTCGTCTTTTTTTTATATTAGAATAAATTTCATTTCTTGTTCGTTTAGCGTACATAAAGTTATAGGCGTTCAATTAATATATTTAGTTTGTGATTAGTTTAAGCGCGCGTTTTGTTTTTAGAGTAATAATAAGGTTTTATTTTTAAATTATTGAATGTGGTTTATTTCCTTACCTACTCTCCTGATCGCATTTAGAGAGAAAGTGCCTCTCTTGCCCTACCCCTTTAAAAATTTGTATAAGCGTATCGAATCTGTTACATAATGAACCTTCCTGACACGCGCGCCGTCAAGTAAAAATTGATCACGGATACAGATTTTCTTTTGTTTTTAGTCAACAAATACGTGTATCAAATGTAAACAAGGTGCTGATAAAAAATTGTTCACTTTATTTTTAGTTCCAAATCGAAAAGTTGTGCCCATATAGATGTTTCCATTCATTAAAGTACTCCTAAAAATTAGACTTCGTAATCGCTTTTAATGTATTCATCGCATTAGTTGCAACAGTTTCTTGATAGTCGAAGCGATGTCCCTTAAGCGGCATTTTCAATCAAGGAAACAGCTCAAAGTCGCAGGAAGTTATATCAGGATTGAATGAAGACTGGCAGAGCGGCGTAATATTGTGTTTTAATAAATACTGCTGAATAAGGTTTGATGTGTGTGCCGGAGCATTGTCATAATGAAGAAGCCAGTCACCGGTTTCTCAAAGTTGCGGTTGTTTTCTGCTAATTGCATCACGTAATTTTTTAAAAATTTCAACATAGTGCACTTTTTATTGATTATCTGACCTGTAAGAGCATATTCGTGGTGCACAACTCTTTATAATTGAAAAAAACAATCAACATTGACTTGATGTTGTTTTGACTTTGGCGGACTTTTTTCAACCGAAGCTTAGATGAAAACTTCCACTCCAAAGATTATTGTTTTGTTCCAGGATCATAACCATAAACCTATGATTCATCACCAGTAATAATCTTTTTAAGAAAGTTTTCATAACTATTGATTATTTCCTAATTGTCCTGACCCATTTCTAATCGAAGGTTTTTTTGCTGGTCTGAGAGCAGTTTCGGGATGAATTTTACACACACACACATAAGTTATTCCCAAATTCTCGGTTAAAATTCACCAAATAGTACTTTTAGGTATTCTAACTTCATCCTCCTTATCTGTTGCAGTCAAACGACAATCCTATTTGACTGCGACTCGGACACGTTTGCCATTATTCGACGACGTTCCCGTCAAAGATCGACCACAACGAAGATGACTGTCAACAGATGTGCGGACACCTTTAAACCGCCTATACCACTCTTTTATTTGTGTTTTGCCCATACATTCATCTTTAAAGGCCTTTTGCAATATTTCAATAGTTTTCGCGCAACTTTTACCGAGATTAAAGCAAAATTTTATACCAATTCGCTGTTCGGTTTTTTCTGTCATTTTTAGCAATAAACGAATTCCTACGAACACAAAAAAGTCGGTGGTCGTTGTAAGGAAATACACGTTGTAAGGGAACTAAGGCGTTTCATCGGTATCTCGGGCTACCGATGAGATGGTTAGGAGTTGCTGGCGACTTTCATACCCTCCAGAGATAGCCTAAGTTTTCGCGCGAAGATATAAACGGAATTCGGATACTTATGGAACAAACCTCGTATTCCTAGTCATTTTTTACATAAGAAACCGTTGTGAAAATCGAGTATCCGTTATTAGGGTTCAGCAACACCGTGCCGCGCGCCAGTGGTACCTACCCTCTGTCATGCGGTCCCAACGCGGCATGCGACAACTACCTTTCTCGAATAAATAATTTCATATTCTATCACACTATCAGTATTTCTTCAAATAATATATAAATTAAGTAAGTAAGTAATATAATTAATCTATTTTTTTGTTCGATCTGATATATCATTGAATAAAATATTGTATCTCTGCGTTTGATCGGGCTTAAAACCGACGCTTATTTATGAAGCGGCCGCATTAACAATGTTTTTATCGCACCTGCAGCATATTATAGAATCCATCACCACCACCATTTATATATACCAATACTCTTCATAAAATATTTACAGGAAATTTGTTCTTACCTCTTAAATTACGCGTCTTATTTTAAATTCAGGAAAGTATGAAGTTTTCTTTTACTTTATAACTTCTGTTATATTGTCAT